AGAAGTTGGAGTGGAAAGGAGCTGTGCAAGGCTTGCAGGTTTCCACCCCAGCAAGCAGCTCAGTGCTGCTGGAAGCCCTGGGTATGGTGCTGAACATTGACCCCACCACCCGCCTGTGATGCTGGTTGCCTGCCATGTGGGGCAGCCTGGGCTGCCTGGTGTCGGGGAAGGGATGGATGGCTTCCCAAGCTGCAGGAGAGCAGGTGGGAGAGGAAGCCTCTGCCTGGAGGGGAGAGTTGGCAGCTCTGCAGCTGTCCTGCCTCAGCTCACCTCCCATTTCTCTTCTCAAAAGCGTTTGCAAACAAAAGGAGTATTTTTGCAGGCTTACCTTGTGCCCAGTACTGTGCAATTACTGACTTGCTCTGTGTGCTTTGTGGCACTTTTGAGATTTGTTAACTTAACGAGTCACTTCCAAACTATTTAATGACAAGAGAAGTGTGGTTTTACAGGAATGTGAACTGGAAACACTAGTATTTGTAGCTACAGGAACAAAACCAGTTAAGTAGTACACAAAACTCTTCAAAGGTCAAGGGGATCTCCGAGAGGCAAAGCTGCAATGATAGCATTTCAAGTCATGAATTTATAGCTGATTAATCATTATAATATATGAAAGGTGCTGTCTAACTATCTTCTGGGCATCTGGGGAAGCAAAGGTTATGCAAGTAATTGAAAATACGGTGTCTCAAGCTGCAGATTCTTCTCCCCTGGACACGTTTGTGCCACCTTTGACAAAGGGGAGTAGAGACACAGTCTTCAATGATTTTACCTGATTATCTAGAAACTGCCTTAATCTCTTGGACTGGATCCCAGACTCTTCGTAGGCCAAGCGGTGACTAAGTTTGGTGGACCTGAGGGGCTCATGTTTTAAGACTAGACAACTCCCAGCATTACAACATGCTTGAAATGATCCCACTCAACCAGGATTGCTGCATGGCTGCTAAATGAGAGTTCTGGGGTCCTTGGAGAGAAGCTGTTTGTGTCTTTCCTTAGACTTGGTTTCATCTACAGCAGGCCCCGCTTTTCTTGCAAAATGCATCCTTCCCTCCTGCATCCTTCCCTCCTGCAGCTTTTGTGCTTCACCCATCACTTCAAGCAGAAGAGGGGGAAGGAAATGTGTCTCAGGCTAAGGAAAGCAATGGCAAACCTGGAGTGAGGAGAAAAGATTAGGCTGGATGGTAGAAGAGGTGATGTTCATTCAGGTTAGGGGGCTGAATGTTAGCGGGTAGGGGCTAGTCCTCAAAGCTAAGGCAACAGAAAGTGCCTTTGCTAGCTTACTAACTGCCGTGGCTGCCTGGAGGTTTCTGGGTGTGGGAGTGCAAGTCCTGGCATGTGTGTCAAGGTGACAGGGAAGCTGTCACAGGAAGATGGATTGGAGCAGACGTGCTCAGGCGTGGGCGTGTGTCACTCAGCCATCCCAGCAGTGCCGAAACTCGCACGGACGGGGCTTCCTTGCGTACCAAGATACACCCTTTTTCATCCTCTTCCCTCTCCACCAACACCTTATTTGTGTTTTTAGTCTTTTAACTTCAGTGTTTCTCACAGGGCAACAGAGCTTCCGTACTGTCCCCTGTCGGGAGCTCTTAAATAATGCAGCCATCGAGTCAGAATTTAGTGCACGAGTAATGAAATTCATAACCTGAGTTTTCTACAGTAACATTAACTGTGACACAGATTCATCACTGGCGTATCATCATTAAAAGGCAGTGGAATTGCATTGGGGATTGATATGATCATATGCATGTAAAGATCAAGATACAAAAAAAGATGTGATTTATGCAATATAAGCAGAAGCTGTAATCCAAAAACCTTCCTACATGTGGTGCGACAGCTCCTGTTCCCAGGGCAGTGATAGCTTTTAAATTTACTGGATAAATGTGTGTGTTTATATGTTTTTATTTAACTCTTTTAAACATTGTGTTGTATTGATCTTTTTCTCTCTTCATTTTGCATTGAATTATAGTTGTCATTGAATCTGCATAATAGTTCAGCGTTATTGAAATTGCTATATTTTGGAGCCTGGGTGTTATATGTCAGCACTTTATTGTGCTGTCTTCCAGGGAGTATAGAAACAGTGCCATGTCTAATGCAGCCTTAGTGAAGACAAATGTAGGAAATATCAAAACTATACATAAAGCAAGAAGATAAATGTTATTCAGGTTTTATTGATATTACAAGGGCTATTGTAATTGTAGGAAGAAAGGCAACAGTGGACAAAAACTGTTCTTAGTTTTCAGGACCTGTTAATTCTCCCCTTCCTACCCTTCAGTAATTTGTGTCTGAAAAGAAAGAGGCCAGAGCTGGGCCAATTTGGTGGTGTGGATTGACCAGCTGCTGTCCCTCTGTTTGCCACTGCGGAGGAGGGGACTTCAGGTACAGCTGCTGAGGGAGCTGACTGTGGTAGCACAGGAGCAGCAGTGCAGTTCCTGATGGAGTTATCTCCTGGTCCCTGAGAGCTCTTGGCAACTGCTCCAAATCCTGGCTGAAATAACGTGTTTGTCTTCTATGAGGAGTTCAAAGCTATTGAGATAAGTAGTTGCTGAGACCGCCTTGTTTTGCAAATTTGTCAATCAGATCCTAGAGCTATAACTAAATGGTGCTTTATTGCAAAGGCTTATTGCTCTTTGTGGTTGTGTAGGAGTTTACATAATTTTAAAAGGAGTTCTTTTATCTCCCAAGTACAGCAGCAATCAGGATTTACTTTCAGAGTGTGGTAGTGGTTTGGAGCACTCTAGATGTATGTGTTGGTCATGGATGTTTTCGCAGTACAAGAGACTGTACTTGCCCTCTTGCCTGGGGTCTTGCAAACAAATCAGAGCATTGGCTTTAGGGAAATATTTATAAAAGGAAGGTGGGGGATCCAGCCTCTCCTAAACTTGACTACACTGGTAGCATTGAACCTTCACAAGGTACCTTTTCAGTCCACCCTTCCTGGTCTCCTTTTAGTCTCTTACTCCAGCCACTAGAACTGATGGTGTTTAAGGTTAGACTTTAATCTGATGGGGTGATCGGCATCCCAGCTCTGATCTAGCAAAGCACATAATTGACTTCAGTATGGGTCTATTCACACAATCAGAGTCAAGTTAATCCCTTAAATATCTGCTGGATAGAGTTCTCTCAGTTGCAAAGTCAAACTTTTACTGAAAACAAACAACAGAGCTCTTCGTCACGTGGAGTATGTGCCCGATGGCCTTGTAAAGGAGCAACAGTATTCACTGCACCTACCCCTTGTATTCTGCTACACATCATGTAATTTCTGTAGATGCTCCTGACTCTGCTGCTTTCCCACCCCACCATTTCCCATGTGGCTCTTTATGTTCTCTCAGAAATGACACATCTTGAATAGATGCTGTAGGTGAGACTGTATCAAAGCCTCCTCTTCCTCCTGAAACATTCAGTGTTTTATCTGCTCTTTGCAATCATTTGTGGTGGGCAAGCAGGGAGGAAGCAGCCACAGAAGTCGTGGTGCCATGAAGGTGGGCCTGGGGACAGGAGGTAGCATGAAGGTGTCTCTGGGCATCTGCCCAGTTTGCTGTACTTCCCCCTCTATGGTAGAGAGAGATATTCTTTCTGGGGTGGGACAGTACAGGTGAGAATCGGCAGATCTTTGCACAGGAAGTTCCACCTCAATATGAGTAAGAACTTCTTTACTGTGAGGGTTACAGAGCACTGGAACAGGCTGCCCAGAGAGGTTGTGGAGTCTCCTTCTCTGTACTCTTTCAATACATGTGTGGATGCTTTTCTGAGTGATATGCCTTGGTTTTGGACCTGCTCTGGCAGGGGTGGCTTGGACTCTTATGATCTTCAGAGGTCCCTTCCAACCCCTAACATTCTGTGATTCTGTGATTTGGCCATTCAAACTGCCCGGCCATCTTTGCATGTGCCCAGCCCACTGGCCGCACCCTCAGAGTTTAGGGCCCTGGTTTAAACACGGTGACATTTTGAACACCGGTGTGTGTTAGGGTTGGGTTTTGTTTGTCCAGCAGCATTTAGTCCTTGGGGTGTTTAATATTGACACAGAGTCTTTGGGGAGAGGGATTGATTTTGTTTGGCTTTGTTGTAAAGCCTTACGCATCTGGTTACGCTTAAGACGTTAGCTTTAGCTAACAACAAACCTCTTGATAAAATTCACAAGAACTGGCAATACTGCAGACACAGACTTATCTCCTGGGCATGTTTTGTAAAATTAAGCTGTTTTCATTAAAAGAACAAAGAGTAGCATGGTGATGGAGCAGCTGTCATATTTTATTACAAAACACAAATACGTGGGAAATCAATTATAGCGCGAGTGCCGCACAATGCATATTTCCAGTAATCCCCCACGGCCGGGGGAAGGTAGAAGGCTGATCTGAGCACAGGAGCAGATGGCAAGCAACTTTAGATAGCTTCACTGCTATTTTTACTCTTTCAAGTGTTTCTGCTTCTCCTTTGATCTTCAGATCTTAAGTTTAACGTGTTTCATCTTCTTTCATTTACTGTTTTCAAATTTAACTTTCCCTTTAAATAACTTTTGCTTGGTGGAGTTGGTATTAGTATGGGTTTTATTATCTTCCATACTGTGAAATTTAAGAGGAGAGACAGTTGCTGTCTTTCTTTAGTGTTGTTCACATCCAATAAAATGCCGACTGCCTCATTGCAGAGGACTTCACTGTTCAACATGCACAGCTGTAATGATATAATGAAAACATCTCACCTCACAAAGACACTTACAATGCATGTGCAGTTGCAGTAGACTTTCTTGGAAGATAGATACTATGGGAGTGTGGTGGCACATCCACAGCAAGCACCTATGGAAATTTGATTTAATCAGTATCCCATTAAATGCAATTCTTACGGTTGAGTAATTGATCTTGCATTAGTATTCTCTGTGTGTATAACATCTTTGTCTCTGCTTAAAATAATTTATGTTTAAAATAAAAGCAGTGGTTTGAAGTAGAGCAGCAAGAGCAACATGGGGTGAGCTGAATAACCACATGTGATCTGTGTCTCTGCTTTTTCTATAGCTGTCAGAAATGACAGGAACAAGAAGAAGAAGGAACCTTCAAAGCAGGAGTCCACAGAAAACTATGAAATGACTGCAGAGTTGGATGATCTCACTGAGAAGATCCGAAAAGCTCATCAGGAAACCTTCCCCTCACTCTGCCAGCTGGGAAAATATACCACGGTAAGTATGGTCTGTGAGGCATACATTCTGGATGTTCCTGGATTGTGTGAGTTTGGCTTTGCAAGCTTCAGGTGTTTTAAATAGATGCAGAAGTAGATGCACTCCTCACACCTCCTTAGCCCTGAAAAAACACAGGTATCCATGCAAACACGTGCTGAAGAGGAGAAATTGCACTGAACTGCAAGCATTACTTAGCAGTAGTGTGAGAGACTGAAAGAGTAATCCAGCCAAGAGACAAGCTCAGAGTGCATGAGTCAATTACATGCCATCATTCATTAGAAATTTGTTGGCTTCTGAAGACATGATCTCTGCTTGTGCGTCAGCAGATTACAGCTTTGCAGGTGTAGAGAATTCTTAAATGCTGCTGGATTACTAGTGACAGTCTCAAAGCTACCAAGGTCAAGGAAAATATGTAATGTCTAAATAAATGGGTTTCAAAAATGCTCATTTTCAGTTTACTCCTCTCCCAGTCTACCAAAATACTGCAAAGCAGCAAACACTTAGGCTGCTTTTAGAAATGAAAAATTGGCCTCCCATCAGGAAGTTCAGCACTGTAGGAATTTCTCCAGAGGGTGAGTCAGGGAAATACTTTTTTTGCATACGTGTATATGTTGCTAAATACAGAGAAGGTCTGTGATATTTGTTGATTACAGAGAGAAAGTTCAATGTCAAGTTTGCAAATGCAGTAATAATAGAGATGGTTAAAAACAGGTAATGCTTAGAGTCCTGTTGGTGCAGGAGCAACTTTACTGGGTCTGGTCTTGCTGTCAGTTGTAGCAGCACTGACTGTTTCAGAGTGATGTGCAGAAGGTCATGAAGTAGTCGAGTGCGCTTTTGCTGCTGAGGCTGGGAGTTTGGGAGTGGCATGGCTGAGGCGAGGAGGTGCCTGCCTCCACAGTCCTTCACCTCCACGGTTCCCTAGCTGGAGATGTGGGACCAAGCCCCAGAGGCCAGGTGAAATACCCCTCTTAGTGGATTGCTTTCTGTTTTGAGTAAGTGCTCTGCTACTGAAACAAACATTACATTTCTCAAAGAGTCATCTAGGTAAATCCCTGTGTGATGGCATCAATATTCACTGCTTTATGGCACACTCTTTACTAAGTGCAAGGTTTGAAACTCCCACGTCTAGGTTTGGGACTTGGTATTTAAGTGCAAGAAAAGCAAGCATACATGGTGTGATGTTAGAAAAAAGCGTGCTTTTCATATTGCTGAAAGTATCTTCACAAACATTTTTCACATTCAGTTTTGAGACCCGCATAAAATGGTTGGTGCTGGGTAAGTTGCTTGTCCTTTCCACCCTTCTCAGGTGCTGTTCCTGCTTGGGTGAGATGTAGCCAAAACAGTCAGTGTAGGCGTGCTGGTAAATACTGCTCAGGCAGTCCCCCAGGGAACAGCGCAGCCTGCGAGGCTGGAAGCTCAAAGGCAGCCTGTTGGTGATGTAACTGAAGGCAGAGCTAGAGATGGTGGATCTATAGGGTGTCTTTTCAAGGAAGTTCCCGGATTAGTGCCCTCCACTCCTCCTCTCAGCACATGAGTTTGCATCCTCATCTTGGAGTGAATAAAATCTTCCAAACAGGGTCTCACACTTCTGCTTAAGAAGCGCTTCTGTATGAGTTTGAAAACATCTTCCTAGTTCAAAGACAGTGAGTTTGTGACTTGCAGAAGAGGTGGTGGGATGTCTGCAGCTGAGACCCTTGGCCAGGCTGGTATGCATGTCACTTTATTGCTCGCAGACTGCCTTTCAAATGTCCTGGGTATCCCAGAATAATAGCCTGTTGCTGTAACTCCCAATGAGGATTTTTTGGTACGTACTTTTGTGTTACCTCTGAGTTAGAAGGGTGCATTGCAGCTGGTGTGATGGTACTTCATACTGGTATTTCCCAGCGATCCTGGAGGGTTGAAAGATAAACCTGGGCACCTATACGCTTGCATTATGTATTGGATGCTTAAATACGGTTAATGTTTTAGCTCTTGAAATTATACAAGTGGATGAAATTGGAGAGGGTTTTGTCACATATCACAGCCACTACTGGTGCCTTCTCCTTGGGTTCCTGCTGATCCCCATGATGAGTTTATGTCCCTGTTGGAATTTCAGAGCCCTTACTGAGAACACCTGGATCTAAGTATTGAGCGGATGAATCTGCTCTGAGTCCTGAGTAGCCATGACCTGACCAATCACTCTCTGAGGCTGGATACTGGTCATTCGTGTCTCAGGCCAGATCAAGATAGCTTGGGTAAAGATTTTGTGGTTTTGGTGGTGGTTTGGTGGAAGTCCACAGCAGTTAGCTGCATGTGGCTTGAAGTCCCTGCCACCTTGTCATCGTTTGGTGCTATTCAAGTTGCAATAACAAAATTATACTGAAAGAATTGTTTTTGTCTTAGCTTGGATCTTTGAGATCAATACAGCTTCCTTCAAAGCTGTAGCAGAACTGATAGTGGCGGTGCTAAATACTGACTGTCTTCTTGCTGCATGCTCGTAGTCTCTGTGTGAAATGTGGAGTATTTACATCTCTCCTCTAGCTGCAGCCTGGGGACCACTCCAGTTTTTTAGGTAGGACTTCAGTGTTAAAAGCTCATTTTTGTGAACAGCTCTGCCCAGCTGTGGAAGGGACAGAGTACCACTGGGGCTGGAGTATGGGTTATCTTCATCTCCAGTTCCCCACCAGCCCAGGAGCAAGGGAGAAGCCTTTCTGCAGCAGTGGCAGAGCCAGGAAGGTGGTGGGTGGTGGAAAGTGTATGCTGGTCAGAGGAGTATTCAGTTCTTGGAGACCACCACCAGCTGCTGATCAAATGGCAGGGCTCAGGCATTTCCTTTTGAGACACTTCAAATAGAGACCAGAAGTCAAAAAAAAGAAGTGCGCAGCCCTTTTTCTAAATGTTGAGTCCAAGGGGAGCTGGGAACCTACACCACTCTACTTTTCTTCATAGTAATAAACTGGTGTAGGTAGGAGATTGCAGTCCTACTTTTTATGCCTGGTTCTGCAGGCTGGAAGTCATAAAGCTTAGCATGCTCACACTGCAGACCATACAGATAACTGTTGTGGCCTTAAGAGTTTTTATTTAATTTTTAAAGCGAGATGGGAGAAGTGAGTGTATTGAATCCATGTGGAACCACTTGAATTTCATGAGCTTTGCACTTGAGTACTGATAGAGTCGGTGGACAGAAGAAACTGTTCTGCAAGCATAGCCCCTGTTCACCTTCAGTTACATGGTTGTTCAGACTGATTTAAAACATGATTCTGTTTGTTGCTAGAAAGACCAAAGTATTTAAATATAAGAGTGGAATATAAAGGACCTTGCAGAGATACAGTCATAAAAAATCTGTTCAGACTTTGCATATCTGACTCTTCTCATTCTTCAGCACTGCAGCCTGCATTTCCTAGAGGAAAAGGTTAGATGAGAATTTTTTTGCCCCCCATTCTGTATTTTAACCTCTTCAAAACTGGTTTTGAGAAGCATTTCCAATTATGTTTTTTTTATATCCATTTGTTCTTTAAAAAGAAAAAGCGTCCAGATCAGTAATAATTACTGTACTTTGCGTAGTTAATAAAAGTCTACTTAAAATAATGGGAGAATAGCACTGGGATTAAATTCCCTGGGTCATTTGACTTAACAGTTGCATTTGGTGGGCAGTGGCAAGGATAGTTCTGCTGATGATGAGAATCAGCAAGCTGTTTAAACGTAATGGATTTCAAAAGTCCATCATAAATAGATCTGTTTTATTACTGCCATGCAGGTAAGAGAGAGTGCCTTAGTAATTTCTCTGGAGATGTCATACTTTATAGTATAATTGAGTGTAACTATACTGCTTGTCCCTTGAGACTGGTATTATTTGTAAGTCTACAGCTGTGTTACATCCAGCCTTATGATAAAGGGAGGATAAAACAGAATATAATTTCGACTCTGTGGACCTATTTTGCAGGTTCTCCTAGCTTGCTCGGGGCTGGCTGGAAGTGGAGAGTTTTTGCATCTCAGTGGCATTTTGTCTTTTATTAATGCTGGGCTTAAAAGTTACATGCCTGTTGTTCCATGCCATGTATACATGTATGTATCTCCTCATGCTGGGACTGAGCAGAGATGTGTGCTCTGGTCCTTCGTGAGCTTGCCAGAGCTGAAGTGCATTGCTGCTTTTACTAAAGAGGCATAGCAAGTGTTCCTGATTAGGGCAGAGTGCCCCTGTGAGCCTTGTTTCCCTTGTAAAGTGGATTTTAAAGACAGTGGGGATTCTGCTACTGTGTATGTTTCTGCGAGTACCTCATCCCAAATCGTTAATGTGGAGATAGAGCAGCCTGCAATGAAAAAACAAAAATTATGGAAAAAGTGGGATCAATTTATGTGGTAAAAATGGCTCTTTAATTGGATTTCATAGCAAGGTTGGGCTTTTCCACTGATAAAGATGCCACTAGGGTGTATTACAGTATTGTTCCACCATATGTGCTCTGGTGCAAAGGCCTGAAAAACATGCAAGGCTGCTCCTGGAAAAGACGCCCAAAAAAACTGCTTCAGTAAAATATTCAGGAAAAGTCATAGCGTCTGCATCTTTTTCACAGCGTGGTTAGAGGAGATCCCCAGGCAAATTTAATCAGAGTTCCTGTTTCTAACATGCATTTTATTAACCCCATATTTTACTGTTCAACCTATACATTGGTATTGAGTCAGTTTGGGTTTTCCATATTCAGAAAGGCTGCTAAAAATTTAGCTCTTTTCCGTTACGCTTGCAACTACATTCATTACCAAATAAGATGTTAAAGGTCTTTCCATTTGCAGCATCTCAAAGATAATGTGTAAACCACATTAGCTCCAACATTGAGAAATCTGGCACCCGGCGTAATAAAACACCCGGTTATTTTCTGTTTTATTAACTGCCCCTTCTCTTCAGTTTGCATAATAGTGAGTTAGATTTACATTTGTTAAGACAGCCGTGCATTACTCTTAATAGAAGACATGTCAAACTTCCCGTTGCTGGTGCTGCAGCATGATGAAGTAACCTCATATGATACTGATGAAGATTTCGTTCACACTTGCTGGTTTCGTGCAACGTCTTTTTTTCCAGATGGATACCCTATTGTAAAATGATTTCCTGCTTTAGGCTCTGCTTTGTGTAGCTCTCTGCTATGCCATCTTTCTATGAACTGGATAAACTGCCTATTAAATTTAATTACAGCCTGAATGACTGCACATCTTGATCTTATTTTTTCTCCAATGTACTGTATTTCACCAAGGTCCTTGAGGATGAAATAAAATAAATCTGAAGGATGCATACTCCAATAGCCAAAAGAAATGTTTCAAAGGGCATTACAATGACTGTTAACCCATTAGTTTTGGACCATTCTGAAGGCAATTCTTTAGGGTTAGGATTATAAAGACATTTTCTCCTATCTTTTCTTCTGCTATTTAAAAAAAACAACCAAAACAAAATAGAGGAAGTTCCCAGAATAAAAATTCAAATAGAAATGTGACGTTAATTTCTTAATCCCTTAGAAAGAGGGAGTGGGGAAGAGCACCTGTGCAGCTTCAGATTGTTCAGCATGGTTAGCATTTATTTTTGCAATAAGGACCTCGTTACCAGCTTGAATCTCCACCCTGTTGCAAGTGAAGGTGATTGTTGGGCTGGCAGCACCCTTAGGACCCATCAGGACATTCTCTTTCATGATTAACGGAGGTTATGGTGTCCACAAGGGCAGCCCTGTGATGGGGTGACAGAGCATCACAGCCAGACTGAGCTCACCCCATGTCCCCTCATCAACCTCTTCAGGCCCTATGTCCTTCCCATGAACCGAAGAAAGCTTAAGGCTTCAATTGCTTCCAAGGAAGTGGATATTGTCACCATCTGCAGCAATGGTAGCAGGGTCACTAGAGATGTGTCCTCCAAGAATGTGTGATCTGTGTAAACTGAATACTTTCTGATGGCTATTTATCTGCCATGTTGGTCAGACTTCTAGGTCGAGACTCCTTATATTTAATTTCAACATTCATGTAACATTTTCATTTAAATCAGCTAAGACTAAGGCAGGTAATCAAATGGGCTTCCCTTGCAGCTGGGGAGAAAGCCACCACCTGAGGGAATTTTCCCTTACCTGCTTTAAGTACCCATCTGGAGTGAGTGAGCCATTTTGAAGATGCCTCACTCCTTCTGGGTTAGTCAGGAAGCTCAGATGAGAGGTGGAAGAGAGAAACTCTGCCTTTGGTTTGTCATGGTTGCAACTCAGCACCTTTTGTAAATTCAAAACCAGTGTATTTTTACAGGTAAAAGTTCCCTTGCAATGAAGAGGAGATCACCCAGACACTGAAAGCAGCTGCAATGTGCACTGTGTTTGGTGGCTCATGAAATAGAGGGGGACCATTGTCCTGGCTGCATCCTAGACAGCTTTGGATCAAATGCTGCTAAAATGGGAGCATCCTGCCTACTGGGGAAGGAGGAGAGAGACCTCAGATATTTCAGAGCTCTGTCCTTCTGAGTTTCATGTCACCTCACAGGAATCATGGGTGGGTCTCCCCACACCCCCATCTTTTGTTGGACTAGCGTCAATTAGATCACAGTAACTTTTGAGTCAGACGGTTCTTGGCTGACACGTTTCACTTTTTCAAGGGCTAAGTCGTTATTCTGCATGCGTGAAAACATGACTTTAAACACAAACTAAACACATATTTGCTACATATTCTAGCAAATTACAGACTTTTGGATAAAGAGACATGAATATATGGAAACAGCCTCTGAAAGATGCAGCAGGA